TCTTTGAATATAACATCTCTGCTTAATGAAACTTCTTTTCCATCAAAGCATATGCGGTATCCTTTAGTTTCTTCTGAATACCCAACAAATATTCCTTTTCTCCCTTTTTGATCCCATTTTCTATGTTTTTTTTTTTGGTATATGAACATAAACATCACTACCAAATACTTTCAAATTGCTTATATTGGGACTTTTATTATACCATAATTCATAGGGCGTTTTTTCTTTGTTACCTGAATTTAACGTACGATTCAATACATATACAGCTGTATTTACCGCTTCAGCCCAAAGATTTTTTGACAAATTTTTACTGTACAAAATAGTTCTAGCTGCTTCTACTATTGTACGCATTGTTCGTTCAGCTTTACCATTCTGCTGTGGTGTATATGGTACACTGGTCTTATGTTTTATACCAAATTTATTCAAAATAGCTTTGACTTCATCACTCTTATATTCCACAATATACTTTTATAACCACAATCACTTCGTAAAGTAAGAACTGATATATTTAACTGATTTTTCACTGTATTTAAGAATAATTCAAACTTCTCTTTTACTTCTGATTTTTGTTTCATAAAATATACATATGTATACTTAGAGTAATCATCTTTGAATATAACAAAGTATCTTTTACCACCAAGAGAATTTTCTTCCATGGGTCCACAAACATCACTGTGAATTATCTGACCTGGTTTTGTTATTTTGGTACTGCTCAGTGTAAATGGTTTTCTGTGTTCTTTACCATAAATGCAAACTTCACAGAAAAATTTGTTTTCCATATCTGTGAATTGAATACCCATATGCCTTAGGTAATTTCTAACATATTGAACATTCTGATGACCTAGTTTTTCATGCCACTGTTGTAATGTAAGAATTTTTTCAGCAATATTCACTTGACCTATCTCTTGCGAAATACTTGTTTTAAAAATCATCGAAAACAATTTATTCTCACGAATTCCAACAGCAACTGTACTATTTCCTCTTTTAAATGTACAAACATTTATGTCTGTTATCATTATTATACCTTTATCAAAGCACGCTCCACATGAAAACAAATTTACTTTGAGTTCAGGTACATGTAAAACATTTAACAAATAAACTTGAATTATTTGAGAAAATTAATATTTTAAGTCACATAGTCACATTAAAATTAAATACACAGATACAAAAAGTGTAAAAAAGTAATCGAAGCTAATTAAAAGTCAAGGTAACAAATTGTTAAATGGTTGGACATAACACAAAATAACTTAGAAAGTTTATACTAAACAAAATATTATAATTTGGTCCAAGTTAATAGCGTGGACATTTCATAAATGCTAACAAAAATATGCATAATAAAACTATATTTTATGGTCTACAGCTTGAAAAGTACTCACTATACCAGTGACCTAATTAAGAATAATCACGTATAAAAATTAAATTCACAGCATTGAATCTCACCAAACCTAAAATGTTTTTTCACTACATTTCTCACAGTTGTACCCTAAATAAAAATATTTGTATGAATACCTCCTTATTCATATAATTTTATATAAATTATTTAAACTTGGTTCATTAATTTAAAAATACATCTCACAGTATATTATAATCGGCACGTTTGCTTTGATGCGTATCACACATTTATTTTGTTTAAAAAAAAGTTATTGCTTTTCCTAAAATTATGACTAAAATGTTAATCGTTAATAATTATTTAAACACGAACCCAATTCAACACTTTCTATAGCGTATTCTAATAAGTTTTTAAATAGAAAATAGTAAAATAAAAGGGTATTATCGAATTTAAGATATCAATCTAATTTAGATTTCGACATCATTTATTATCTATAGAAACTGTTTCACGATAAATATTTAGATAGGAAAAGTTTTTATTAAAAGTTAAGTCACTATGTTAAAGTAGATAACAAATTTTCAATCATTTGATTAAATATATTATAAATTTATATTTATAGAATTATAATATAGACTAGTTCATAAAACCTTTATTAATTTATTCATAAGTGTTTTAAACATAGATTATAAATAAAAGTGTCAAATGAAAAAAATCTGTTTGGATTATTAATGTATCATTTATTGCATTTAAGAAATTCAAATAAATAGCATCTCTTTAAAATTACTTTATATGACCAAATGAAAAAAGTATATAATAATGCAAAGTATTATTATTTCAAACTATATTATAGGAATTAAAATATTAAATTTATTAATGAAAAATGTACTACTCTTATTATTATAATTATTATATAATATTGTAATTTATATACTATTAAAAAAAAAAAATTTGTTTTTAACAATTCCAAAGAATATTTTGGATTAAGTCAATAAAGTTATGTGATTAAATAGAAAATTTTAAATTATTTTAGTTTTTCAACATTTTTTGATTTTATTTTTTTTATAAATTCATGATTCCTTTCAGTAAATAGTAAATTTTAGCAACATAAGTTTTTTTTTTAACAAATACTTAGTATTTGTATATTGGATGTTTATTAAGTAATGGAACGGAATTCTATTGTTCTCATTGTTTGAAACAATTGACTTGTCTCCTTACATTTTGAACAGTCTATACATTGGTAAAAAGTAAAGTCAGTATATTATAATAATAAAATATTTTATATTGAAAATATAATTAAGAAATTATAATAAATTTGTACTTAAGGATGTAGAAACAAACCTTTGCTTTGATAATTTAAATTTTAAAAAAATAATATGTTGAGCAAAAAAAGAAAGGACTTTTATAATATATATGAGAATATTAAGAATAGTGAGATTTAAAGTCTTATGTGTTGTTTGATAAAATGGCCACGTCTACCATGGATATCAACGGCTCACAAAGCAAAATAATATTTGTAACCTGGTATGTATCCAGCTAAAAAGTATTGCATTGGATTTGAAGTTGATTCAATATCATTTATATGAATCCCGTGGCGAGAGTTTTCATAAAGATTACTCCAATAAAATAGTTCGTAATAACAAATGTCCTCATGACGTTTTTTTAATTCCATCTCCCATTGAAGCATCAAAAATATTTCATTTTTTTTTATTTTAAAACTGATTGGCGCTGGTGGAATTTTATTCCGGCCAGGCTCGTTTTCAACAGGCAACGGTGGCGGATACTCTTTTTGCGATTAAGACATTTCGCCATTCTATTAATATTTGGCCATATAACTGAACTAGATCGAATTGTGTACGATATATGATCGTATGAACAGGAAGACGCCGTGTTAGTTTCACAAGGTCCAACCTGAATGTTGGGTGTCAAAGGAACTTGAGATTCATCCAACTGAACGACCTTACTGTCTAATTTTTTTTGTTGACTACTCTCCACATATTCCATACGAACTTTTTGTAAACCAAAAGGCCCACGTCTACCGTGTTCGTCTACAGCTCTGATACCGAAATGATACGTATACTTGACGTTACCTATTTCATAACCCATAGGTAATGAACAACAGTCAACCATACCGATCTTTTACCACATTGCTGCGCGTGGAATAGCGTTTGTCTCTTTACAATAATAAATTTCGAAACTAACTATTTTAGCATACGAATAATTTATCTTTAAATCCCAAATCAAAGCGACAATTGTTCCTTTAGGGTGCGCAGTGAATTTTGGAGCGGGCGGTGTTTTTTTCCAAATTGACTTGGTCAAAATTTGTTGTGCAATAGGCAACGGTGGCGGGTACCTGAGGTTTGTTCTTCCCATAGATAGAAAATATGATGTGTTATCAAATCGTCGTGGTACTTCAGAATCACTCACGTATTCCATTTCTACAAAAATATTATTAATCGAATCAAATATTTCCAAAAAACTTGAAAAAATTAATTGTCTATTGAAATATTTTAGTACGTAAAATTACGGAGTGCAATTATTTTCTTAGAAACAATGTTAATTATTTAATAATAAGTTACGTAATCATAGAAACAAAACTGTTCATAAATATGTGACAATGATTACAGCTAATTATATTGGCCTATGAATATTAACACTTGTAAAATTTTCTAATTTTTTTATCTAATTTCTAACGCGAAACGAATTTTTAGGGGATTATTATATTAATATTATTTATTCAATATTATATTAAAAGATCAAAAGTTCTAGAAAATTTTAGGCAATCTCGTATTTTATTAGTCTAGTCATGATTTTTTACAGATTTGAATAACATAAGTTAGTAATTAATGTTTGGATTACTTAATACTCATAATAATTTGAATCTAGTGATAAAATTTGTTATAATTTTTGCAATATGAAATGTTATCAAATAATTAATCGGATTTTTTAATAAAATATTTTATTATAATTTAATGTGTTTTCAATTGTAGAAAAAAATGTATAATTGATGTGCTCATGTTAAGGAAATTGTCTTAATACTATAAAAATTAGTTTTCAAATTAATAAAATTATTTCAAAAATACATTTTCCTTACATTTTGAACAGTCTGTACATTGATACAAATAAAGTGAGTATATTGTAATAGTAAAATATTTATTTCGATAAATGTTATAAAAACACTTAAAAAATTAGTTTTCTTAGATTTATATGTTATAGAATGTATTATAACTTCATTTATATTTACAGTTCGAAGTAATGTAATAGTAATCACAAATTTTATCAAGGAATCCATAAATGTCTAGTCGTATACTTAGTGCAGTTTATTATTCGTTTTATTATGAAAGTATATTAGGGTGGTCGCTATTTTTTAAGTTTTAAAATTTGAGAAGCGCCGGGTATAAATTTGTTCCTTTATGTCTAATGATAATCTCTAAAAAATTTGAGCTTTATACTACTTGATTAACTGGGCGCACATGAAGCTCAAAGTTTTGGAAAAATATGAAAAATTTCAGTGTTTTACATTTTTAGACTACAGACTTTGTTTTACGAAAAATATTATAATATATAATATTTTAGCTATTGTAATTTTCTATAAAAAAGGTCTTCTTACAATTTCGCGTTTATTTAATACTTTTTGGTTAAAATAATAAAACTCGACAATACTCGTGATTTATGAAAACTTCCAACTATTTGGTTTTTTGTAATTATCTGGTTTAATTTTCGCATTACAAAAAAAATTTTAAACATAAATTTGTTTAAAATGATATTTTAAATAAAAAATGTTATTAGATAATTTCCTTTAAAACTGATAGTTTTTGAAAAATTTATAAAAATATTTAAAATAATTGCCCAATACTTTTACAAAACAACACTTAAAAAAAAAATAATTATAATAAAAATGCAGTTATATTCATATGTATATATTCTATATGATTTACTATTGAAATCAAAGAATTTATTTATTATACGCCTGATTCAAAACTTTTTTTGTCGCCTGAGGATATTGAGTTCTGTAATCTTGTACCACCTAAAAAAAATATTGTTAAAAATAATTTTAAGTAACCTTTTAAAAAAAATATATATTTACTTGTAACAAGAATTGTTTTTGTGATTCGTTTCTTGTTATACTTTTATTGAAATCTTGTATAAGTTTTATGCCCCTTTCAGCTGAATCGTTTACTACTTTTAGCTCCTTAATAATTTGTTTACCTTGTTGGTATTCGCGAGAGCTTGACCACTGAGATGGGTGTATATGTAAAAAATTTTTAATTTTGTATCGTTGAAAAATATTTTTTGAATGTCCATTAAACAGGGATATTAATACATCATCATCACATTTTTCTAAAAATAAAGGTACTTGATTTAAATTTAAAGACAGCTTTTTTATTTGGTAGTCTTTGTTGTCTTCGTCAATTTCAGCAAGTGTTGTCATTTGTTCTACCATTTTGATTTTAGTATCAACACTTATACTATCATCAAACAATGAAAAAGCTACACATTCGTTTGTTAAATAGTATAAATGATTGACTAACTTTCCAATAGCTATCTCAGAGATATTTTGATCAATATCTTTATATTGATACAATTTTCGTAAAAACTGAATATCTTTTAATGGTGCACATATTGCCTCTGGTGCATAAATCCAATATATAATGTAGCATTTTACAATAAAACATGTAAATAGAGTTAATGATTTTTCTTCTTTTTTAGTTAAATTGAACTCAGTACGAAATAAATAAATTTTTAATGCATATATGGCTTTAGCCATCCACCTTGCCATGTAANAACTCAGTACGAAATAAATAAATTTTTAATGCATATATGGCTTTAGCCATCCACCTTGCCATGTGATAGGCTCCTGGTTTCTTAAATTGTATACCTCCGGGGGGTATTCCACCCAAAAAAATGATTGCAAGATCAATAAGCTCACGATAGTCTTCACGAGGATATTTTTTATAAATAGCAATATTATAATTTTTCAAAATATTATCCAAGTCATCACCAACAACACTTCTTATTTCAGAACTATTTATGCCTGGAACAAAATTATTTGTATTTACTTGGGACCAATTAGCTTGGAACCTTTTAAATAGTGGGATATCAGGCCCAGAAATTGAAAATTTAGATTTCCCAAATACAGCTGCTAATACTATTTCTGAAACGTGATGTCGGCAGCCAAAATATAATAAATCCCTTTCTAATTTTTGTTCCAATAACATGCATGCTCCTTTTATCCTGCCAGTATTTGACGCTGTAGTATCAAATCCAATTGCTTGGACATTTTTTATTAAGTTCCAACTTTCCAACGTATCATATACAGCTGATGCCATTTCAAGTCCGGTAGCAGCAGGTATTTCTGGAACACCTAAAAGTTGTTTAGTACCAGCACCTGTAGCAATTACAGCCAATCTTTCGACTGATTTTCCACTTATATCATGTAGTAATTTAGTGTCCCAATGGATTGTTACTATTTTGTCATTAAGCTGAGAAAATTTTTCTTTAATTCTTATGTAATTTTTTTTTCGAAATTGTTCCCGTTGTTTTGAAATTGATGTCCGATTTAAAACATAAGACGATGGATCTAGAGATACAGCATCCAAAAAAGCCATAATTAAATGTATACAATCTCGCCCACTAACGTTACATCTATCTAAAGCTGCAGATAGTCGAGAGGTTAATAATTCTTTGCGGGGCCTTTTTGTGGGATTTTCATAGATTTTTATTTCTTGTTCTTGAACTATTTCTTCTTCGATGCAATCAATTTGCGAATCAGATGAACAATTCTCAGAATCGGCAACATCAAACTCCGCTAAAATATTACAATACAATAGTATAATAATTTTTGTCCTTTTATAAAAGCTTATATTTTTATTAATATGACTTAAATATAAAATTTGTAAGTCAAGAACTGTAATCGATTGGATAGAATGATACATCATACCCTCACTGTTCACGGTTCAATACTCTTAAAAATAAATGGTTTTTTTTTAATATTAGTACTTTTGATGGCCATACCTGAAGTAGAAGGAATGCCAATGTCTGCAGATTTGCGTTTTCTTTCGTTTTCTTTTTCTATCCTTAGCTGTCGTGTTTTTTCCAATAGTTCTTCTTTTTTATCAATACCTACCATACAGCCTGTTCGTCCTTTTTCGCGCTGTTTGATTAAAAATTGCTTATCCTCATCGTACTTAATAAGTATTAATGCATCTCTATGTGCTATATCGAACAAATCATTTAAAGAATCGCTAAATTCAGTTCGCTGTTTATTCAAACTTTCACTTGTTCTATTAATAGTTTTGGAGAGTGATTGCCACACTTCATAAAGTTTTTGTAGTTTTAATTTACATTTATGTAGTTCTTGTGTAGGAATTTTTGCTTTTTTCCAGTATATAACACATTCTTCAATAACCAATGATGCACTGACATTAAAGTTAAGCTTGGCAATTCGCATATTATAAAATAAAACACGTAAACAGTCACCATTTGAAGGTAATTTACTTCCGGTTATTTGGTGTTTAAAAAATCCAACAAGAAAAATTTTTTGGCGAAGTGACGACATACTTAACACAATTAAAAAATTGATACTTATTATAATATAAAAAAAAGACAATCGCTAGTAGAGATAAAAAGTTCAGAAACTACAAAAATATTGTGTTATCACGTCCTATAACTCTGTTAATGTTAGTACTTTGTCATTCTAAGATATTNTTAATGATAGTACTTTGTCATTCTAAGATATTTTTTTTTTGTTATTGTACTTAGAAAAATTATCAGTAAACAGGTTTATTAAACGGAATCCAGAAATCATGGCACAGTATGATATAAATAGCACAAAATAGTTCACGTTATAAAAATTAGAACATATCGATAAAATATTTTTATTATATTTATCAATACTTCAAAAACTATCAGTTTTAAAGGAAATTATCTAATAACATTTTTTATTTAAAATATCATTTTAAACAAATTTATGTTTAAAATTTTTTTTGTAATGCGAAAATTAAACCAGATAATTACAAAAAACCAAATAGTTGGAAGTTTTCATAAATCACGAGTATTGTCGAGTTTTATTATTTTAACCAAAAAGTATTAAATAAACGCGAAATTGTAAGAAGACCTTTTTTATAGAAAATTACAATAGCTAAAATATTATATATTATAATATTTTTCGTAAAACAAAGTCTGTAGTCTAAAAATGTAAAACACTGAAATTTTTCATATTTTTCCAAAACTTTGAGCTTCATGTGCGCCCAGTTAATCAAGTAGTATAAAGCTCAAATTTTTTAGAGATTATCATTAGACATAAAGGAACAAATTTACGCCCGGCGCTCCTGAAGTTTCGTACAAAAATTTTCCTTCATATGTAAATAGCGGCCACCCTAAAGTATATATTGTAAGCTTGTTAGTATTGTACACTTACAAAACAATGTAATGTGTAAAAAATAGTGTTTTTAATATACCTATCATAGTTCTCATTTCCTTTATCCTATTTTTATTCTTCATGGCTGAAATTTAAATGCAAATAAGATCGAATACATATAATAAATTTTAACTATGTTTCAAAGTTTTCTACGCATATAGATTAGTTGACAGGTAATATTGTATTATTTTTATACAGAAACGAGAATAGCATACTAAAATATTAAAAAATAGTGGCGACTATATTTTAATCGTGTCATCTGCATAAGGGTAGTAGTGATGATATACCTTACCCTAATTACTTAATTATGTACATGTGATACGATTAATAACGAGCGTTGATCAAAAAAATGTTTTAAACATAAATTTTGATAGGCCTTTTTGATAGATTGATTGACATGTAATCTATGGCTACAATTGAATAATATGACTCGAGACAAAATTGTTTTTCGTTTAGTGCAACAATAATTAAATACGTAATACATTATATAATTAGAAACTATATTAAGTCGGGAAATAAAATCATTAAACACGTAAAAAACTCATAACTTATGAACAATCTTGTTGAACATATTGATATTTATATGATACTGTAAAGATGATGATTTCCTATTTTATAAGGTAAATTTTTAATAAAATCAACATTTTTTTCTGCATTCATTTGTAGAAGAACTTCCCACAAAACCTGTAATAATATTATTATAAAAAACAAAAATAAAATAAAAAGAATAACTTATTTTTATTTTTACCATTGTTCAATTGGCCAAATAAAATGTTTCTAATTCTCGTTACTTTGGTGATTTAAATATAGAACACAAATCGAACTTTGATGTTGTGTATAAATCAAATTAATTTAATTTATAAGATAGGATCATGAATTTCTGAGGTCACCCTTCTTTTCTTAAACATTAGTTCTATTGAGCTGATAGTGAAACCAAATATTTAAAAAAATATTTTACCCGCCATGAAAAATGTATGCATACGTCCTTAAATAAGATAATACCTGATCATTGTCAGTATTAATCTATAGTTGTCTCAACTATGCAGTGATACCATTGTACTGGTGTTTCTTTTTATTTTTAAAAATGAAGAACAATAAATTTTAGAAAATATTGAGAATAAGAAACTATGCTTATGTTTAATATACATCTATTAAAAGACACTTTCAATAAATTTTATATGAATTTAGTAAATCCGCTAACGTTGCCAACAGATGTAAGAAGGCGAGAGACAGACTTCTTGGCCATCTCTCAGTGCCACATCCGGACATCACATATTATTAATCCATACGCTATATGGCATTAACATGCAGATCTTTTCAGTCAAAGTGTTTACGTTTGTCACCATCATTTTGGACCTTGTCAAATGGTTCAATGTCAAATTTTAGCACATAAATGAATCGTAAATTAACGTCTCGTCATTGTTCATAGTGCACTTGAATGCGTCGTTACATTATTTTCGCACTTGCGATTATTCATACCCCACTAATGTTGATGATTGTCCTTGCCATTTGATGACAATGTGATACATTCAGTTAGTTCATATTTATTGTTAATATTTAATTTATTTTACATATATTGTTAATTTATTTATCTTTGTGTAATTATGATATTAGTTATTTCAATAAATTTCCTCTTATTTCATATGTTTAAACTTATTATTGCAATTCATTTTTAGTTACAACAAAAATTAAACAAAATATTTTATTAGTACAATAAAAAAATTATCTAACTATACGATAGAATGAAACACAATCGGACGTTTAAATCTGTTGTAATTGCGTTTATCGGTTTTCTGTTCTACTACAAATAATTTAAAAAACACTTTTAAGCTTTAATAAATAAGTACAGTGGGTTAAGCACAGAATAAGAATGAGTTTTATTCGGGTCGTGAATGTGCAGATGACCTATAAGATAGAAAAATAAGTATAATTATTGAAATAGAGTAGAATCTATTATTGATACCACATTTCTTACAATCATACAATAAAACACTTATGTCATGATTTTTATATTTCATTGATTGATTGGACTGACCACCACTTTTTAACCCATTTGACTTATCATCAAACTTGTTGAAATCTTTAGAATGTTCTGTTTTAGTATTATAAATAACAGCATCAACCATTGGATTACTTGACAAATAATTAGAATCACCCTTTGACATTACTACTGACTGGTTCTGTTTAGCAGCTTCAGCACCTCTACAACACTCAACAGTCTGATCTAATGTTAATTTTGGTTCTCTTAATAATCGTTCCTGAAGTCTCTTGTCATTAATACCAAGAACTATCCTCACTCTTAAAAGATAATTGTTCAATTCACCAAATTCACATTTTTTAGATTGCTTTCTTAGATTAATTAAGAAATGATCAAATATTCGCCTTCTTGTTGACTTCTTTAAAAAAACTTAAATTGTTCTATTATTAATTTTTGTTTAGGTTCAAAATATTGTTCTAAGCCACTTAATATAGTACAATATGGCGTATCAGTCAGCTCAAGCGTATCAATCAGCTCATTGGCATCATCCCCAATAAAATAATGTAATATTGCAGTTTTAAATTTATTTGACTTATTTTCCAAGTCATTAGCTGACAAATATAATTCATATTTTCTTTTAAAATTATTAAAATTTTCCATTAAGTTCCCATGTAGCTCCAGCGGTCCTGGGGCTGGTACAAGCATACCTCTTGACTGCGCCATGTTATGTATTTAAAAGTACTTGTTTTAATAAAAACTTGTTATGTTATAAATGTAAATACATTATTTTAAAATCATAAGTGCGTGCTTCTTTTTTATATCAAAACATCTTAATGAGGGAGAGAACGATGCTACATGTTACTGAACAGTGAAGCCACTAATATATAACAGTAACGGTCTTCGACATACTAATGTATATCCACCACTGGTGACATAAAATAAAATATATTTTGTTTTATCTACAAGTTATCAGCATATTAGAGTCTACAACAACACTTTATATTTTAATATATATATATATATTAACGATATTAGTTCATCAATGATGTTTATAAAAGTTTATAAATTTATCAGTCGACATCCAAAATTATATACTTGGTGTTATGGCTATTATAATTGGAACGTATCGATCATGTAATTGCCAGTACATCAAACTCAGGTTGAGGTTGATTCCGAATAGTCATTCTTATATCTTTTCTTCCCGTACCCATTTTCATCATGTTCATCTTGAACATTGTTATATTTGACTGATTACGCACAGATAAGAAAACGGAGTTATAATATGATTAATTTTTCACGACGAATGTGTTTCATACCAAATTTTAAAAATAGGAGAAAGGGGAATAGACACGTCTTTGAAGTGGCAGGTGTTAACTTCAAGGTTAAATTGTCAAAGTAAAATATCAAAGGAATTATGTTTTTTATATTATTGATGGCGGAAGGAAATAATATTTCAGAGTACACATAAATAAATTGCCCGTCTGGGTCCCGGCATAGAATTGGCCCAGAGCAATCCCTGCTTGTCGTAAGAGGCGACCAAAAGGGTCTGGGGAAGGGCAGCAGCTTCCCCAGTATTGGATGTAGATGGAGATCAAGGAGATCGGTACAGCTATATACCAAACATTTGTAAGTGAAGATGGCAGCCATCTAAAGGGTTACAAAACTGCGAGGTGGAAGGAAACGGGAAACCACCACCTTATTATCCCTAGTATCTGCAGTTATGGATTGTGAACTCATTTTAAAAGATTCCGGACGTAAACTAGTCTCCCGTTCGGATGTCCGGGTGGAGACTGCCTTGAGTAAAACAAAACAAAACTATAAAAGAGTAGGTACATGGAATGTAAGATCCTTGGGAAGAAGCGGAAAGTTTNATGTAAGATCCTTGAGAAGAAGCGGAAAGTTTGAAAATTTAAAACTAGAAATGAGAAGACTAAATATTGACATTATAGGGATAAGTGAAGTAAGATGGCCAGATCCCGGTGATTTTTGGAGTGATGAGTACAGATTCATTCATACAGGCTCGGAAAATGGACATACTGGGGTAGGCATCATCATGAATAAACAATGTGGAGAAAGTGTGATCAGCTACTATCAATGTATTGATAGGATCATCATGGTTAAAATTAATACCAAACCTGCTATTACAACGATTATCCAAATATACATGCCAACATCATCACACAATGACGAAGAAGTCGAAGAAACTTATGATAAAATAGATGGAATAATGGCGATGACTAAAGCAGGGGAGAATGTTATAATCCTGGGCGACTGGAATGCAGCAGTAGGCGAAGGGAAAGAAAGTAACATAACGGGTAGTTATGGCTTGGGAACCAGAAATGAGAGAGGGGAACGACTAATACAGTTCTGTACACAACCCAAATTGACAATTGCAAACACTTTTTTCCAACACCATAAATGAACATTATATACCTGGAAGAGGCCGGGAGATACAGCGAGATATCAAATCGATTATATTATTACTAAACAACGTTTTAAAAATCAAATTAAACAATGCAAAACTTATCCTGGTGCTGATATTGACAGCGATCACAATCTAATTATTATGGAAACAAATCTAAAGTACAAAAAAATTAAGAAAAGTGGATTCACAAAAAAATGGAATTTAGAAATGCTTAAAAAAGATGAGAAGAGAATAGAATTTAAAGAGAAATGTAAGAAAGAATTAAACAACATACAAATTGATAATTGTCAGTCGGAGGAATATAAATGGGAAAATATTAAGAAAATTCTAAAGATCCAGGCAGAGGAAGTATTTGGAACCAAAAAAAAAGAGCCGAGAAAACCTTGGATGACAGACGAAATAGTTAAGCTAATAAAGGAAAGAAGAAGGTATAAAAATCAAATTAACACTCAAGAACAACAACAATACAAAAGAATACGAAATGAAGTGCAAAGGAAGATAAAAAAAGCTAAAGAAAAATGGCTAGATGAGCAATGTAAGGGAATAGAAGAATTTTTAAAAAAAGGAAGAAGTGACCTGGCGTTTTCAGAAACCAAAAAGCTTTTTCGTGAAAGGAAACAAAACACAGGTACCCTAATAAACAAAAACGGCGAATTATTACTAGAAGCTGATAAAAAGGCTAAAAGATGGAAAGAATATCTGGAAGAATTATATGAGGATAATTCAACTATGATATTTGAGGAAGAAGATAATGTAGATGAGGATGATAAAGGTGATTATATCTTGCAGGCCGAATTTGATCATGCGATGGACTTCCTTAAAAACAATAAAGCGTATGGTGTAGATGAAATCCCAGCAGAGTTACTTAAATACACAGACGTAACTGTTAAAAAAGAAATGTACAAAATATGCAATGAAATATATTTAAAGGGAAGAGCCATTAGTGATTTCGAGAAGGGTATTGTGGTACTGATTCCAAAAAAGAAAGGAACTCAAAAATGTGAAGAGTACAGAACATTAAACCTCATCACACATGCCGCCAAAATTATCACCAGAATAATCAAAAACAGGATAGATAAAAAGATAGAAGAAAATCTGGGTAAAGATCAATTTGGATTCAGAAAAAACATAGGAACAAGGGAGGCAATTTTAACACTGAGAATACTAATTGAAAAACATATTAGAAGAAACAAAGATACATTTATAGCCTTTGTCGATTTAGAGAAGGCGTTTGATAATGTAAAGTGGAGTATATTATTCGATATTCTAAAATCAATTGGAATTAAGTATTACGACAGAAGATGCATATATAATTTATACAAAAATCAAACTTTATTAATACGTATAGATGGAAAAGAAGAAATAGCAAAAATTAAAAAGGGTGTACGACAGGGCTGTAACCTATCACCCATGCTGTTTAATCTATATATTGAAGAAGTAATGAAAGAACTAAGAATAGAAGTAAAGCAAGGAGTTAGAATAGGGGGAGAAACAATTAACGCTCTGAGATTTGCTGATGACATCGCTTACTGCGCAGAAACAGAAAATGACCTGCAAAATATTTTAACTAAGGTCAATAAAATATTATGGGACAAATATGGAATGCGATTAAATAAAAAAAAGACAAAGGTTATGGCGTGCAGCAAGACAAACCCTTCTCAACTTAATATATACATAGATAACGCACGCATAGAACAAGTACAACACTTTAACTACTTAGGAAGTAAAATAACGGAAGATAGCCGTTGTAAAGATGATATTCTAAGTAGAATAGCGCAAGCGAAGAGGGCTTTCCAGAATAAAAAACACCTACTAACCACCAATAGTATGGACTTAGAGGTAAGGAAAAGGTTCTTAAAAATATATATATATGGAGTATTGCCTTATATGGCTATGAAACCTGGACAATCAGTGCAATAGAGAAAAGAAAACTAGAGGCCTTCGAATTGTGGTGTTATCGTAAAATGTTAAGAATTAAATGGATTGATAGAATAAAGAATGAAGCAGTATTAAATAGAATAAAAGAAAAGAAAATACTATGGCATACCATAAAAGTTAAAATGATAGGACATCTAATACGCCAGGAGAGTATAATAAAAACCGTCATAGAAGGCGACGTTGAAGGCCATATAGGAAGAGGAAGACCAAGGATGGAGTATATGAAGCAAATAATAAGTGACATGGGGAAGAATAGTTATAAAGAACTAAAGGAATTGAGTAATGATAGGGAAGCATGGAGAATTGCAGCAAACCAATCTAAGGATTGAAGACTGGAAAAAAAAAAAATAAATTGATTGGAATAATATCAAGAGAGATATCGATTAATACATTAATATAAATGTTGATAAATGCACTAAGATGAGCGTTATATTAAATTAATTGTTATCATATTGCTATACTAATAATCAACACACACCATTCGATCTTTTATTTTGATAACGGAAGCTCAATGTGAGGCGCCCCATAAATATATATCGCTTTTTTACAGTAGCGTGACTTTGAAATTATAGTCTAAATTTCAAAATTCTTCTTCTTCTTTTATTGGCTTCGGCTCTTAAGACCATGCCATTAAATACAACTCTTGCCATCTGTCATTGTCCTCTGCAGCTTCTTTCTATCTGATTCCTGGTGCTATCTTTTTTATATCCTTTTTTATACAGTCTGCCCACTTCAACCTGGATCTCCCTAAAGGTCTTTTTCTTATAGGCTCTTCCTCTATTACCTGTCTAATTAGAGATCCTTGCTTACGCCAGGCATGGCGCCCCCACATGAATCTTCTTTTTGTGATCTCCTTAACTATATCCGGTCTCTGAAACTGCATTTGGAGTTCATGATTATGCAATTTTCTCCATTCATTTGTTAAGTTATCAAAGACTGTCCATATATTTTTTTAAAACTTTCCTCTCAAACACCCCTAGTCTCAGTTCTTTGACTTTTCTCAGTATACACGTCTCAGCACCATACAGGACAATAGGTCGTACTAATGTCACATACATTCTTATTTTTTAATTTTTAGAGAGGGTCCTAGCTTTTAGTACTTTTTCTAATCCATAGTATCCTTTATTAGCTATTTGTTTTCTCGATGACACCTCTGTCTTATGTTCATTATCTTAAGTAATAATCGATCCCAGATATTTAAATTGTGATTCTTTTCTAAATGTATGTTCTTCTAACTTAATATGTTGTTCTAGTCCATAATTTCTGTTACTTCGGCTGACAATTAAGTATTCCGTCTTATCATCGTTAACGGTTAATCCTACTTTCTCCGCTGTCTTTATAAGTTTTTTTCCCATACTTTTTATCATCCCGATATCACCTCCTAAGAGAACGATATCGTCCGCGTATGCTAAGAGTCCTATTGTTATCTGTCCCAGCGCAATTCTTTCTGTAGCGTTCATTTCCAGTACCAGGTTAAACAACACTGGGGACAGTACATCCCCTTGCCGGAGACCTTTGTCACCCTCACAGGCTGCGATGTTGTGTTAGATATTTTAACCTTTATATCTATCTGGTTGATGCTGGCTCCAATGAGATTTACAATTTTACTTGGGAATCTAAATTTTTTGAGTATATTTATTAGGCTTTCTTTATGGATAGAATCATAAGCTTTTTTAAAATCTACAAACAATATGTGTAAATCCTAATTATATTCCCATCATTTTTGGAGGATCAGTCTTATTACGAAAATCTGATTCGTTGTAGATCTATTAGGTCTAGATCCTCCCTGATAGTCCCCTAGTAACGTCTCTGCTATGGGCCTTACCCTATTCAGTATAAAATATGCTAGGACTTTATATGTTGTATCTAGTAGTGCTATACCCCTATAATTACTACATACTTGAGGATCATTTTTTTTGAGGATAGGACAAACTAATGCGGTGACCCATTCTTTTGGAGGGGTTTCTTCATGCCAAATACTCTCTATAATACTATGTATCCTATTTATTGTTCCTTCATTCAGGTTTTTTAATACTTCTCCTTGGATTACATCCTCCCCAGGAGTTTTATGGTATTTAAGCCTGTTAAGTTGTCGTAATATTTCCTCTTTGCTTGGGGGCGGACAGTCAGTGTCATTAGGTTCCGTTGGCATACATGCAAATGTCTCGACTGGGTTTTCACAATTAAGTAATAATCCAAAATACTGTCTCCATTTTTCCAATACCTTATCTTGTTCTGTCACCAAGGAACCATCGTCATTTTTAAGAAACTTCTCATGTTTTTTGTACCCTCCTCTAATTGAATTTATCTTCTGGTATAATTGTATAGTTCTATTTACTCTATGATCAGACTCAGCTTCCTCTAATACTTCTTTTGTATATTTCCGTTTTTCATATCTAAATATATTATTTATAAATATATAAATATCTTATATATTCTTTTTGGCAATCTTTGTATGCCATCATTTTCTCTCTATTAGTAAGGTCGTTGAGTAACTGAGTCCTGGCATCTTTCCTTCTATTAAATGCTTCCTTGCTGGAGTTGTTGATCCACGGTTTTCTTGTTCTCTTTTGTTTGTCTATTACTGTGTCTGTGACCGTTTTTATTGCACCCTTGACTACTTTCCATTTAGTATCAATTGTCTCTTCTTGATTTATAATTAAACTGTTCATTGTTTCATGTAATTGTTGCTTGAAGCTCCCACATATATTGGTATCCTTTAACTTATTCACGTCATATCTGTCCACTAATGTTCCTTTCTAAAAAACAGTTTCTTGAGTTTTACCTTCATCTTTCCTTTAACTAGGTAATGGTCTGAGTCACAGTCAGCTCCTCTGACTGTTTTGCCATCTTGTACACAATTTCTAAACCTAGTATTAATCAGGACATGGTATATCTGACTGACATATCTACCATTCGGTGCCTTCCATGTCCCCTTCTATATGTCTTTATGTGGGAACATTGTGCTCTTCACAATAAGTCCTCCACCACCTGCGAAGTCTATAAGTCTGAGTTCATTTTTACTAGTTACATCATGAAGGCTATGGTAGCCAATCGTT